TTGAGCAAGAGTGTTAGATGGAAACAGATGGAAAATTCATTTTGGTTCATGGCCTCTGAAAATAGATGCATTGGAGTGGATACAATAGCTCTGTTCCTGGAAAAGCTGTTTCTAAGTCACATCAACACGTGCGTGCATTGTGAGGGTTAATGACTGGAAGGCAGCCCGTGACGCGTCCTTCTGTCACGTCAGGAGCCACCCCCGGCCGCCGCGTGCGTCGCTGCGTGTGCAGAGCACAGTCCCCGTGTGCCCTCGCACCGCGCCAGGTCCTCCCCGGCTCACAGGAAGCCGAGCGACCTCTCCGGCTTCTCTGCAGACCTTATCTGAAAACAGGCCTGTTTGTCAGGAAGCTCTGTGTTCCCCCTGCACGGCCCAACTTTCCTTTGTGTGCCCCGGCGCTCCCCGCGTGGCGCCGTGCGGTCTCCTCTCCTTACCTTTGTTCGGCACCTCCGACCCGTGGGCGCTGCGAGCGTGGTCGAAGGTTGGCCACGGTTCCCTGTCGCACGGGGCTGCGTGGGTGGAAGGAAGCGTGTGCGGTTGAAACACGGGAGGTGTTGTGACTTCTCATCTTCACTACTCTCCAGGGGCGGTTTCCAAATCACATTTTTCCTTTCAATTCTCAGTCGTTGAAGCAGCAAGACATCTATGCACATATTTGCTTGCTTGTTGAAGACTAGACTATTAAAATTGTGGGTACGGAACGGATGTATGAACTTTGAGTTTGCATGTACATTAAAAACCATTTCGCCCTGGCTGGTGTGGCTCGTGTGGGTTGCGCGCCGGTCTGTGAACCAGAGGGTCTCTGGTTCAGTTCCCAGTCAGGGCACATGCCTGGGTTGTGGGCCAGGTCCCCGGCTGGGGGTGTGTGAGAGGCAACCGATAGATGTTTCTTTCACACATCCATGTTTCTCTCCCTCCCATTGTCCTTCCCTTCCCCTCTCTCTAAAAATGAATCGAAATCTTTAAAAAAATCATTGAGTCCCATCTCCCACACAAGGGAAGGGTACCTTTTAGAACATTCTGGACACGTGGGCCCTCGCCACTAAAGTCATGCTTTCCCCTGTAAGACACCGTAGGGAGAAAGCCTTTGAACTTCTATCGTGCCTGTCTCTTTTCTCTGAACAGTAGCAGAGAATATTTGCCGTGGTGAATTAATGAGCACTGTCAGGAGGCCAGAGACCGCACGCTGGCTGACACGCCCATCAGTGAGAGCGGCTCGCTGCGGTGGGAGGCGGGACGGGCACCGGAGGCGCGCCGACTGTGGTCACCATTTCATTTGTGCACGAGTATTAAATCCTGTTGCGCATGCTGAGTATATACAGTTTGTGTTTGTCAGTTACGCCTCAGGAAAGTTGGAGGAAAAAGGCATCACTGGAACAACGGAAGTTATGGGGGGGTTATTTTTTTATTATAATTTTTAAAATCGTCACCTGAGGACATGATCATGGATTTGGGTGGGGAGGGGCTGGATGAGAGAGAAACATCAACTGGTTGTCTCCTGTCCGCGCCCTGACCAGGAATCAAACCCTCAGCCTTTTGGTGTGTAGGATGATGCTCCGACCAACAGAGCCACCCAGCCAGGGCAAAAGTTCGAGGATTCTAAAGTCCAAGAAAACCTCTATTTGTATCCCGGTTCTGCCATTTTTACAATGAAAAAAAAATTAGTCTCAGAAAGGTTAAATAATCGACCCAAGTTAATTTGGATGACCTACAAATTACTTAACTTCATTTTCTTTTCTTTTTTTTTTTAAGATTTTATTATTTTAGAGAGAGGGAAAGGTAGGGAAAAAGAGAGGGAAAGAAACATTGTGTAAGAGAAACATCCATCAGTTGCCTCTCACACAAGCCGCAGACGGGGACCAGGCCTACAGCCCAGGCGTGTGCCCTGACCGGGAATCAAACCCGCAACCTTTGGCTTTATGGGACAGTGTCCCCAACCAGCTGAGCCACGCCGTCAGAGCTTAATTCATTTTTTTCATTGTAATGTAGACCTAATTAGTATTTAACTCGTACAGTTATGTTGAAGGTGAGAGATCAGAATGCCTGGCACATCCAGGAAATTGCTGCTACAGTCACGATGATGATGATGATGATGATGATGATGATGATTACACATTCATTCAACAGATATGTGTTGAACACCCACTGCATCACCGTATGCCAGGCCCTGTTCCAGTAAACCGGTGACTAAGAAAAACAAGGGCATCGCTCTCGTGAGGCTTCTGCTCTGGCAGATGGGACGGGCCGTAAGGCACAGGGCTTCCCGGTGGAGAGTGCAGTCGCGAGCACGAAGCAGGGTGGGAGCGACAGAGAGCCAGGGTGGGGGGTGGCTCATCTAGACACGGTTCCCCAGGAAGCTGGAGGATCTGCCATCCGGCAGCGGGGGGCTAGAAGGAGAATCCAGCCGAGGACCCCAGTGCCAGGAACCCGGTGAGCAGGGAGGAGAGGGGCAGGGGCGAGGTGCAGAGGCTGGTCCACGCAGGCCCTTGTGGGCGCGGTAAGGGGCTTGGCTGCTCCTGCGTATGTACGATGGAGGTCAGTGGGGTGGATGGATGGACGTTTTAACAAGACACTGGGCTGCTGGCTGGAGGTGAGGAGACGAGTTGGCAGACTTACCGATCCTTCAATCAGGAGCTGACGGTGGCCTGGAGATCATGGCGTTGCAGGGGACGAGACGGGGAAAAGCTGCAGTGACAGGACTCGAAGACAGATCCGTGTGGAGAGTGAGGGAGAGAGGAGGAGGGACCGGGAACAACTGCTAAGCTTCCATCCCGAGTAACTGGACGTGTGGGGGGGCCGGAAACCCGCTTCTGTTCTCAGAGATGGGCGAAGCTGCAAGGTTGGGGGGGGGGGCTGTTCTGGGGTTGGGGTGTCGTTAGGTCTGAGATAGCCATAAGACATCCATCCACATTTTAAAGCCATTTTAGCCACGATTCCTGTATTTTTCATATTCATTCTTGTTCCCTTCTATTGTTGCAAATTTATTTCCTCTCATCACACCTCAACTTTGAAAATCAGAATCTCTGCATCTTAAAGGTGTGCTGTGAGACTCTCCTGGCATTAAAATGCACCGTTGGGAGTTTGCTGGCTTAGGCACGAACACTCATCCCGTGTTCTGACCTCACCAGGGACTTGTTTCACAGAGTTCAGAGGAACTCTTGCTCCATCCATCCTGTGCTAACTTGGCATCAACGTAAAGAATTAATGAATATGCAAGCTCTCCCTTTGCGAGGGAATTAAATTCTTTTTTTGAGAGGTTCTATTCTATTTATTAAAGATTTTCTAGGGTTTCTCTGGACCCTTCAATATTTACTCATCTTGGACTTTTTTTTAACAAAGGAGTGGGGAGGGAGAAAAAGAGGGAAGGAAACGTAGATGTGAGAGAGAAACATCAGTCGGTCTGGTCTGCGCCCCAACTGGGGATCAAACCCGCAACCCAGGCACGTGCCCTGACCGGGAATCAGACCCATGACCTTCGGCTTTGCGGGTGACACCCAAGCAGCTGAGCCACACTGGTCAGGGCTTGGACTTTGGTTCTGTCTGGTGTCTTTCTGGCATGGATTTCACATACCTAGTTTACCCTGTCTACTGTGTTTTCCCCTGGAAAGTTTGGGCCCTTTGATGTATTAAGGTTGACAGTATGTAGACCCTCCTCTCCATTGCAGTCTCATTCTCTTCCTTTGGATTGGCGGTTGGGGAGGAAAAAGATTCTCTTAGGAGATCACACTCCCAACAGAGGGGGAAAGAAAATAAAAGTAGGTCCAGGAAATTCAGTTTTACACGTTTCAATGATCTTGTCTCCTTCCTTCCTGAAAGCCCACAGACCCGGCGTTGCGTGCCCCAGCCCGGGCACGTGCGGAGTTCCCTCGCGTGGGTTTCTTTCGTGCCCATCATCTGTTGTTACATAACAATCGCCCCAAAACCAGCAGCTTCGAGCACCAACCGTTTATTACCTCGTACGGTTTCCAAGGAGAGGGACCCAGAAGTGGCTTCCTGGGGTGGTGAGGGCTCACGCTTTGGCCTCCAACGTGACGGCCGTGAAGCCGTCGGCCAGGGCGGCAGCCACCTAGAGATCCGACAGGGTTTGGAAACTCCCTGTGTCGGACGGTCGGTTCACACGGGCTGGCAGGAGGCCCGTGTTCCTTTCCTCGCCACCGGGGCCTCCTTCGGGGCTGCCGGAGCATCCCCGTGCCGGAGCATCCCCGTGCCGGAGCATCCCTGTGCCAGAGTATTGCCGGAGCATCCCCTGCCATGGAAGCTGGCTTCTCCAGGGGCAGTGACAGAGAGAGAGGAGGACGGGGCAGAGGGATCCTTTTCATCCTTGACTCCAGGAGTTCCTTGCACGCTCCTGTCCGAGGTTCCCAAGTCGCCTTGCTGATAGTCATTTCTCAGATGAGAAATGTGCCACATGTATCCAACTTACATCCTGCCGTCCTGGGTCTGTGCCTTGCTGCTTACAGGATAATTTCCATTTTAATACTGAATCGTACCATTGAGATTCGGGTGTCTTTTGTAGACATTTTTACTGGCATTTCAACTCCCCACGTGTGTGACCGGCAGTGCAGTCACTCAGGGGAAGTGCCGGCTGAGTGCGCACCCACGACCACGGAGTCCAGGAAAGCTGACCCCGCACACGCCACCACGGCCGCTGCCGGGCAGGCATCTGCTGTAGCTGCATCCTGACTCAGACCTGTCAGAATGTGGAAAAAATATTTCTAAGAACTGGAGAAGTGTGACAAACAGTCTTCTCCCCCAGTCGTGGGAAGTGGGGTAGATCAAAGTCTTCTGCCGGCGAGTTTCTCTCCTCCTGGTTTTACAGAGCCTGGAGCTTCACGCAGTCGTAATCTGCCGGGGAAGGAGACCTGAGTGGGCGGTTTATAGCGAGGATGAATATGCAGGTTATTTCCAAAATACGACTTTTTTTTTTGTTTCAGAAATATAAACAAGGAAAACTCTTCTGTGACTTTATTTACTCAACTCTTTCTTCTTTTTCTTTGAAGGAATAAAGATCACTGTGAACCCGGAATCAAAGGCGGTCTTGGCCGGACAGTTTGTGAAGCTCTGTTGCCGGGCAACTGGGCACCCTTTTGTGCAGTATCAGTGGTTCAAAATGAATAAAGAGGTAACTTTTTAAATGTCCTCTAGTCCCCCTGTCGTAAGAAGATAGAACGATGACAGAAGTGTGCTGGTGGAGGAGTCCATCCCCCCTTGCAGAATTCCGCACGTGAGAAACTCGGACTTGAGGGGAAAGGACTTGCCCGTGTGCTAACAGCCGGTTGGGGCAGAACGGAAATCCGTAGCCACGCCTACCTTCCTGTGCCCTGCCCACTCCACCGTGGTGTCTGTCACGTCATATGGCCACTCAGCGTATAAAAACGCTGGCATTGTAGACTCTCTGAGTGCCAGCGGTTGAACAGTTTCAGGTGACAGGACAGATAGATGCCTGTGTTGTCCGTGAGCTTCAGGAAGGTACACGGGCGAGTTTGTTAATTCTTTGGTTAATGGATTTGTAGAAGACAGTAAGACTTCAGCCCTACATTACTCAAAATGTTGTCTGTCTTTTAAGTGACACATATTTTAGACTTAGAAAAAAGATAGACTTTTCAAAACTCCAAAGCAATCGTACATTTTGCACAGCATATTTTGTAAGGCATGTTTTGATGAGTTCTTGACTGATATTCTCTTGCTGATTGTTTCCCAGATCCCAAATGGAAATGCATCAGAACTTATCTTTAACACAGTGCACGTGAAAGATGCCGGCTTTTATGTCTGTCGAGTCAACAATAACTGCACCTTTGAATTCAGCCAGTGGTCGCAGCTGGATGTTTGCGATGTCACAGAATTAGCAGAAAGCTTCCAGGGTAAGGAAGTTGAATGTTAGGAAGGGAATTACCTCATTTCAATTTATGTTAATTGTTTACTTTTTAAATAAATTCCAAGTGTCAAAATATTACCGAAAGCTCACATGTCTGCTAGACCCAATATAAGGTCACCAGTTGTTAAGATTTTATCCCGTGTGCTTTGATTCTCTATTCTATGGAGGGGCGTGTGTGTGTGTGTGCACACACAAACATATAAATATACACACATATATACATATACATACACACACATGCCTTTGTATGACATAGAACCTGTCTCAGTCTGGCCCTGCTGCTGACTTTTCCACCTTGCCAGCTTTCATGGATTTGAATGATGTCTCTGGTTTAGGAGGAGAAAAAAAAATCTAATACAGTCTTCCTGACTTTTCCATTTCTTTCCACACTGTACGTTTTCCTCCAAAACTACTGCATGACTCCTAAAAAATTGTGTTGTAGAATCAGACTTCAGAGGAGATGTAGACATGAAAGGGCGTGTAGTGTATCATTTGCTACAAAAAAAAATTTCATCAAACTGTTTTTCTGCTCTGTCATTCACCTTTTTCAGTCCAGAAGCTAGTACTGATCAAGGGGAAAAAACAGTCTACTGTAAAGGTGGACCTCAGACCCCATCTTTTATTCACACACACTGTCAAGTGGTAATGTCATTTCTGCCAGACAGAAAGAACAGGAGGGAAGCCGGCTTTTTGTTTTTAGTCTGTCTTGCATTCTTCCCTCTGCACGTTAATAAACACACCATCTCTAAAAATGGTATTGATTAGTTATTTATTTCTTGAGTATATCTGTGCATGTAATGAAATTCAGTATGTTTATAGATGGAATCTTACTCATTCAACAAATACTATTTTTTTAAAAGATTTATTTATTTTTAGAGAGAGGGGAAGGGAAGGAGAAAGAGGAGAGAAACATCAATGTGTGGTTGCCTCTCCTGCGCCCCCTACTGGGGACCTGGCCCGCAGCCCAGGCATGTGCCCTGACTGGGAATCGAACCAGAGACCCTTGATTTGTAGGCCCATGTTCAGTCCACTGAACTACTCCAGCCAGGATTCAACAAATATTATTGATCACCTGCAATTTGTGAGACAGAGTCTCCTGTGAGAGACCTGGTAATGCATAACATTCCTCTGTCCTCAAGGAACTCGAGTAACAGTGAGCGTTCATAAGTAATGCTTTCTGATATCTGCCTTGGAAAGAAATGCTAGTGACAGCCTGTCCATATTTATTCAGTGCTCATAACAACACTCCTTATTTTAATAAGTCAACTTAAAGCAGAATGTAGCGCTGTCTGTGCTGACCGGGGGTATCCAGATGTTTGCCCCCGACAGCAGGGCTCTGCTGCCAAACGCATTTGGAAACCACTCGAACTGTTCTCCCCTCTTGCATGCACAGTGCGTACTCAGTGCGTACTCACGCTTTGAAAGCGCTGAGAAGTCCTGCAGTGCCAGATCTGCTCAACTTCGTTTCACCCACGCTTGTCTAAACTTATTTGTCCACAGCATTCTTTTATCCACAGAACATTTCTTAGTATTTCTAGAAATGCCATTGTTTTATGAAACAGTTTGGGAGGTGCTATTAAAGATTGTAAAAAATAACCCTGGCTGGTGTGGCTCAGTGGCTTGAGTGCTGACCTGTGAACCAAAGGGTCACCAGTTCCATTTCCAGTCGGGGCACATGCCTGGGTTGCAGGCCAGGCCCCCAGTAGGGGGCGCAGGAGAGGCAACCATACATTGATGTTTCTCTCCTCTTTCTCCCTCCCTTCCCCTCTCTAAAAAATAAATAAATAAACCCCTTTTTTAAAAAGATTATAGAAAATGAAGGATGAACATGAAAATACATTTTGATTTAATTACAGAGGGGGGTTTTATTTTTAACGTAGAGATTTTATTTATGTTTAATAATATTTTTCTTTTAATTTAAGGAAGTCTGGATGCCATCTCTGAATCCAAGTTGCAAATATGTGTTGAGCCAAAGTCCCAGAAGCTGACGCCAGGCAGCACGCTGGTCCTGCAGTGCGTGGCGGTGGGAAGCCCTATTCCTCACTACCAGTGGTTCAGAAACGAGGCCCTGTTAGCCCATGAGACGAAAAAGATATACATGGTAGGAAGCTGGTTTTCAGGGTACTTTTTTGTGCTACTATGTAAAATAGTGTCATTGAAAACTAAAGTTAACATTAATCCCATTTGTTGGCAGTGTTTTCAGACTTTCAGTATTTGCTTCAGGTCCTTGTTTTTTAACATGAATTGATTTGTCTATTTGCAAAAGTGCTAGGAAACAACACCAGCCCACATCTAAGGCTTTATACTGAAATGTCAAATAATAGTATTGCACCGAACTCACCATTATTGGATTCCTTGTATCATTTGCCTAAACTAATACTTAACCTGGTGAATGGAAACAATAACACTGTCTCTAAAGCCTTCTGAAATTTTGTTTCGTAGGGTTTTTTTTTTTAAATACAAAACAACTTTTCGTCCAAGCCAATTTAAACTGAAATTTCAAAGGAAATACATGTGTACTTTAATATTGATACAGGTGCCGTATGTGGATGTGGAGCATCAGGGAACCTACTGGTGTCGTGTCTATAATGACCGGGACAGTCTCGATAGCAAGAAGGCAGAAGTCACCGTAGGTAAGCCGTGCTGCTCGGTGTTGTGACAAATGGAGTGTAGCAGAAGCCACATAAACCTGAACATTTGAGCAACAGAGATGCTACTCCTTATTACCCCGCTCTGTTTAATGGTGCGTTAAGTATCAGGAGTTACATCTCTATATAGAAATCAGGGAGAACACATACTCAAATTCATAATCTAGGTTTATATACCATAACAAAAACAGTTTCTTATTTATATCTTTTCATTATGTTTGAATTGTATAGTTTGTTTTTTTCAGATTTTTTAATTTAGTTTTAAAGAGAAGGGAACAGAGGAAGAAGGGGAGGGAGATATCAATGTGTGAGAGGAACATCAGTCTCAGTCAGCTCTTGTCTCGCCTCTTGCACATGCCCCCCAGCTGGGGACCTGCCCGCAGCCCAGGCAGGTGCCCTGATCAGGAATCAAACCGGCCACCTTTCACTTTGCAGGGCGACGACACTCACCCAGCAGGGTCATGCCGGTCAGGGCTTAGAGTTTGTTTTAAACACTTCCGGCAAAAATGTATTAAAACTTTAATTAAAAGAACTTGGAAAAGATTTTTAATAAAACATTTTGAAAAAAACAGATATATGATGGAAGGAATAATGATTAATCAACAATCCCCCCTTATGAAGTGCGTAATTTAGGAATTTATTCTATTTTAGCTTAATGCATTTATAGTTAGGTTTTCAGTAGCAGGAGATGTCGATGCCTGTGTTGGTTTGCCAACATATTTCTGTGATGTTTATCTCTGTTTGCTTGATGGCTGCCCTTCTAAGACCATGAATTACAGTGTGTTCACATTTGTTTTCTCTGGAACAAGGAAGAACAGATGGGGCAGTGGAGTGCACGGAAGGTAGTGTAACCCTTTGGTTTGAAACCATGTATCCTGCATGCTGGTTCCTCTGGGGACTGCTAGAGCGCTCTAGCCTGCTGAGTGCGGTAATGGAAAAAATACTAGCTACAAGAAATCATTTCAATCAAGGACACTGTATCTTAGTCTCGGAGGGTTTATAAATTACCACAGACACCTTTAAACTGACGTACTCTTCAAATAACTAATTTTCCGTTGATTTTCTACTGTATATGAGAATACAGTTCCCGGATAACATATTGTGAAGAGTGAACATTGCAATCAATTCTTAATGCTAACTTTTATCGTCACAAAACTTGTGAAGAGAAGATGGATGGCTAAACTCTCACAGACTATTTGACCCTTCGGCCCTGATAATATGCCCCTCAATGCAAACATAGTTTCTGTGAAAGTTTCAGGACAGATGTTTTTATTTAACAGATGTTTTATCAAATATTAAATGTTATGCTTTAGTATAAAATTGATAAGATCCATTTTTAAAGCTATAAGGCTGTAGATTAATCTACCATGTCCCCTTTCCCATAATCTATAAAGAGAATTGAAAATCTGTTTCAACATAAGTTCCTAATTTGTTTTAATTAACCAAAACATTGTACATAAGTTGTGATGAGTACATTTTAAAACTCAAATTCCCTTAGTATAATATCACATTGTTTTACAAAATTAGGTTTGTGGATAGCAAAGTATTTTTTCAATTTCTGCCTCTTTAAACTGTAATAACCTTAGGTTCTAAAAACCTTAAGTTCTACTTGGGTAAAATAAGAAAACAATGTTCAATCTTATGTCTCCTGGTTTTCTTGTCCTTTATAGAACTGTGGTGTGACTTGGAAATACTGTAACAACTGTTTTCGAAACTGTGAACGGGCGCTCTCTAGCCTAGGGGGCCCCCGTCCCACGGTCCTGGGCCCTGCATGGGGGAGGCTCCGTGAAGACACCCTAACCAGCTCCTCTTTCTCCTCTTACTCCTTCTTCGCCTAATTGCATGACTTTTAAAACTTCCTAACGTTGGAGACCTCTGAGAATAAATAAGTAAAACGAGAAATAAAATGAGCATTGCTCTTCTGTCTGGCTTCAGGGCGATGCCTATGAATTATCGCCTTACAGTGATGCTTCCTTATTTGCAAGGTTCTGCCTGTAATTTTTTCAATAATAAACACGTGACTAAATCGTGATTTTCAAATAAATCTGTTCAGAACGCTTAGAGATGCAAGTCCAACAATGAAACAACTCCAGAAATTTCAGGTGGAAAAATTAGGTCCAGCTTTTCTTTCTAAAACACGTGCGAAGTTGGGACTTTCGTCCTCGGTGGGCTGGCACCTATCAGGAGCAGTGTCCTAATGTCATGTCTTTTTTATCCACGGGACATAATGTCACCTGTTTAATTTTCGGTATTTTGTTCAAGGTGTTTGATCAGGACGGGGTGGGGATGGCACGGGGGCAGGTCAGGGCATTTGTTAGGGTGGTGGAACTGTTCGGTGTGACCACTGCAAGGGTGAGTACAGGTACACAAGTTTTTTAAAGATCGTTTAGTAACCAGTCAGGGGAGGATAGCTCCCAGGATAGAACGCAGAATATGACCAGAGAATCCAGACTCACTGCAAATGTGTAAAACAGCCCCACCGAAGGGAGGAAGGAGGAACAGGGCACTCACCTGAGTAGTGGGAAATGACAGAGGTCTGCACGATAAAGGGCGAAAGAAAACCGCAGTAGCCCTGTGCTCCGGCCCTGCTCCTCCTGAGTTGATTCTATAACAACATGTAAGAGTAAGTCCTACCTAAGACGGGATGAATAGGATGACATTTGTAACTTGCTAACATTATTTTTTATCTCCACACAATGTGTGCCCAAAGCCAGACGGCTGTCATGTCTTGCGCGCTTAGATGCTGCCCTTTCGCTGGGAGGTGCGGGTCAACGACCCTGAGACCTCTGCACCTCCAGAGTCATGCTGCCCCCGTCCAGCCCTGAGCAGGACGTCTCAGAGCCCACCTGAGAGGCCGGCCTCCCGACAGCCCCTCCCCAGTAATCCCCAAAGCTGTCCAGGTCACCCAAAGCAGGGGGCATCTGAAGAACTGTCAACAACAAAGAGGCGTCTGGGGTGCCAGAAGCAAATGCAGCATGTCCTGAATATAGGAGCTTGAAACAAAAAGAGCGTTAGTGGCTGTGACAGACAGACCTCCCCAACATAACATGTTAGAGACACAGCAGGCAAACCGGTGTGGGTGTTTCCAGGGACTCTGCATCATCTGCACGGTGGTTCTGCACGTCTTCGCCTGTTCTGAAATTGAAACTTTCATTAGAACAGGAAAACATCACTTGAGATTGTTCATTAGTTTCCAGGAGTTTCTGACTGAGGCCACAGACAGACCTGTATCTTGACCGTTTATGTTCTGTAATCGCCCAGAATCCCTGAAACGTGGGACAAATTATGAACGAGTCTGTGTAGCTTTTTGTCACTTGGTGAAAGGAATAACCGCTCAGCTTAGAAGTCCCGCCCGATGCCCACCACAGTGCTCTTCCCTCCTCGGTTCGCATGGCTTCTCCCGTCACGTGCTTGGAAATGTCAAACCGATTCCACGTTCTGATGTGGTTTCACAGCTCAAAACCTTCTCTGCTTAGTCTTACTGTTTGTGCTCGATAGGCAGTTAAATTATTCAAAGCTAATCTATTTTATTTCATTTCAGATGAATTACATCATCTTGGGCATCCTGGTGAGTAATACAACAAAATTAGTTTTAAATGTTTAATTTATTGAGTACAGTAATTTAAAGATACTGTAGACATTCTTTTGTTATAGTAGTACTGGTTACAGTAGTGGTAACTTTTTCTTTATTAAAATAATATTATCACTTAGGGTTGAAATAAGCACTTACATGCAGTGCAATTTCATGCAAGTGAAAACATTAAAAATATTCTAGATCATAAGACTATATGAGGGTAGAAAAGTATGCGGAGGCTGCATACACTAAACATGAATGTAGTTTTTATCTTTGTGAGTGACTCTGGGTCATAAGAAGGCAGTTAATGGGGGAAGTACCTTATTTTTGTATTTGAAAGACAAGAAGCAGTCTTCAAAAGGGTAACAGTGTAACAATTCTAGACTTGCCAGACCCTGGGGACCTTGTTCAGAGTTGCTCAATCACAGAATATACCTGAACTAGGTGGGCGGGGTGTCTATCTGGAGTAAAAGGTGTGTTCGTGGGAATACCTTGCCTTATATAGATAAGTAGCTGGTCAGTAACCATTCATTAACTTTCTGCTGGCCAATTTTAATCAGAACGGATTTCTGAACCAGTTCAGCTTATGAGAAGGCCTTAACTGGGGTGCAAGGCAGAGTAACAGTGAGGACTCCATAAAGACAGAGGACTTCTCTGGGTTGTGGGCGCTCCGAAAGGCGGTGATGGAACAGGACTGGGTGAAGAAGGCAGTTCTGTCATTTAGTATTTACAGAAATTTCTTTTATTCCCTGACATGCTATAGCTCAACATTTTAGCATCATAACTAGTTTTCTTAGTTTTGTGCCCATATTTTTCTCTATTTTTTAAATCACTGTTTATTTTTCCATTACGGTTGACATCCAGTACTGTGTGTCTGATGTGCACCCCAGTGACTAGACACTGTGTAGCTTACAGTCATCCCGATAAACCTCGTACACCCCTGACACAATACATAGTCATTTGAATATTATTGACTTTATTCCCCGTGCTGTACTTTGCACCCCATGATAGTTCCGCAGCAACAAAGTTGTTCTTGGTCCCTTCACCATTCTCACCCAACCCACCAAAACCCCCCGCCAGTCTACAGCTGTCAACACATTCACTCTGTGCCTGTGGGTCTGTTTCTGTTCTGTGTGCTTATTAATTTTGTTTTTTAGATTTGGTTGTTGATAGATATGTATTTACTGCCATTTTATTGTTCCTTTTTTTTTTATCTTTTCTTCTTCTTAAAGACCCTTTAACATTTCATGTAATACTACTTTGATGGTGATAAACTCCTTTAGCTTTTTCTTGTCCCGGGAGCTCTTTATTATCTGTCCTTTGATTCTAAATGATAACCCTGCTGGGTAGAATAATCTTGGTTGTAGGTCCTTGCTTTTTATCAACTCTTGCCAGTCGCTTCTGGCCTGCTTTCTGTTGAGAAATCAACTGACAGTCTTATGGGAGCTCCCATGTAGGTAACTAACTGCTATTCTTGTGCTGCTTTTAAGATTCTCTCTTTGTCTTTGACCTTTGGCATTTTAATCACGATGTGTCTCAGTGTGGGCCTCTTTGGCTTCATCTTGTTTGGGACTCTCAGTGCTTCCTGGACTTGCATGTCTGTCTCCTACACCAGTTAGGGATGTTGTCTGTCATTATTTTTTCAAACAGGTTTTCGATTTCTTGCCCACTCTCTTCTCTGTCTGGCACCCCCGTGATGCAGGTGTCGGTGTGCTTGAAGTCGTCCCCGAGGCTCCTTACACTGTCTTCATAGTTTTAGATTCTTTTTTCTTTTTGCTGCTCTCATTGGGTGTTTTTTGCTTCCTTGTATTCGAAATCACTGATTTGATTCTCGGCTTCATCCGCTGTCCTGTTGATTCCCTGTAAGTTAGTCTTCATTTCTGTTAGTATATCCTTCGTTTCTGACTCGTCTTTTTTATGGTTTCTTTGTACTTTTTCATGCTGTTGAAGTTCTCACGAAGTTCCTTGAGCATCCTTATAACCATTATTTTGAACTCTGTATCCGGTAGTTTGCTTGCCTCTATTTTATTTAGTTCTCTCTCTGGAGATTTTCCCTGCTCTTTCATTTAGGACCTGTTTCTTCATTTCATGCTCAGATTTTTTAAATAAACACTTATTGTCAGTGATAATTGGGCTGTGCTGATTACATATAAGCACATTCTAGAAACCAGAAGGCCACTGGTTTGGGATAAACTGAATTTACAGTCTTTATAAGCTCCCTTTCCTATCATTTGTTTTAGAGATACCCGAAAATAAACCATTTGTTCTCCCTATTATTCACATAGTTATAAAAGCTGTGTGTCATTTTTGCCCGGCCAACCTGGAGCTCAGGGGCCACCGCAGGGAGACAGCCAAACATCTAACCCCACCCGCTGCCAGAGAGTCTTCCTCTCTTGGTCTGCTTAGAACCCTTTCCCCCTAAATCAGTCTGTTATTTGTTGCCCTTCGGTGAACACTGTAAAAAGTTACTTCAGGAAAATTTTTGCAAACAACCACCACTGAACTTCTGGAATTTTCTTGGCCTCCTCTTTCATTATATCCTTACTCTTCAATATTTGGTGACCCCCAAAATTTTGAGTTTTAAAAAAAGAACATTTAATATAAACTTTTAATAGACTCCAGCCGCATATGAATGGTTACAAATACCAGAGAAAAGTTACCCTGTTGAGAGTAGTGGACAGATGACCGATTGAACTCCATCTTTCCCTATGTCTCTTTCCACGTGGTCCACGGGGTCAGAGATACTTCATTTTACGCAGAGTCGATGGCAGAGAGCATGGACCATGGGATGAGGTTTGCCGGCTCGATAACTCCGGACAAGCGACTTAGTCTCTCTCCACCTCAGGGCCCTTATCTGTGAAATGCAGGTAGTAATTGTATACACCTCGCAGAGGACAGGGATGTGTGTTCTAGTCAGTTATATTGAAAGCATCCGTAACTGCACCGGGCAAGCATTCAGTAAATGTTCAGCCCTCCGCTGCTGCTGCTGCTGCTTCCCAGCACCCACTGTTTTCAGACTATGTTTCTGCCCAGCCCATTAAAGATTACGACCCCCACTATGGTCGTCCATTACCAAAGGCATTCCCCGGCTCCGATCCCAAGGCCGTCCACCCCAGTCCGTGTTGTTGTCAGGATCTGGAAATCTTGCCCTGGCCGATTTAGTTAGTTGGATCATTGTCCCGTACACTGAAAGATTGTGGGTTCCATGCCTGGTCAGGGCACGTGTGGGAGGCAACCAGTTAGTGTTTTTTACATCAGTGTTTCTCTCTCTTTCTCCTCCTTCCTTTTTCTCTAAAATCAATAACCATGTCCTCGGGTGAGAACTAAAGAAGAAAGAATCCGGAAATCTTAAAATCATAAGTTAGCTGTTAGAAATCATATTCTGTCTTTGAATGTCACCAATGTGTCTTCATTGTTTTCATATATCTCTAGCCCTGAAGATGTTCATATCATGGATAATAATACCTTACATCTTTGAATTTTTATTTTCTTATAGATAATAAAGAGCAAACAGCTGAACAACCTTTGGGTAAGTAGCGCTTTAAAATGCCTGATCAAAATATAAATATGTATATATGTGTTTCATGATGAGCATAAAGGGATTGAAGACATTTTAGCTTCACAGCTTTTATAAGCACTTGAACGACTTTGAGACCACATGGTTAATTTTGGGTATTTGTAAAGGAAATGATAGACCAGGATGGATTCAGTGTGTGGGACCAAGTCAGCTCCTGCGGGGTGATTTCTTTACTTTGGCAACATGCGAACAAATGAACAATGAACGCGTGTGTCCCGTGGAGGGGAGGAACACCGTCTCTCCGCGGGCTTGGACTGGAAGAGCGGCAGAGCGGCGGCAGTGGCAGCTCCATGTTTTGCAGTGAGCGTAGGAGGAGAAGGGCCTTCCAGACAGAGGCAGCCTGCACCCTCCCCCCCGCCCCAGTACAGCGTGGGAGGAGACGAGACAGGGCGTGGAGTCGGGGGCACTGGAAGCAGCACGCTGTGCTCTGGAGCATGAAGAGAAGGAGGCAGGAGCAGAAGGGCGAGGCCGGAGCTTCAGAGCCCTGTTTCTCCCTGAGCCCCTGGAGGCACGTCTCTCTGAAGGGCCCATCTTGTGCCGGAGCGCACCCGGATGGGGGTGTGTGGCTGGGAGAAGAACTGACAGACGGTGGCAGTATGTCTAGAGACTCTTGCCCGGACCGCTAGGTGGGTGGTGATAGCACCCACTGAGCTGGAGAACACAGAATAAGTGGCAGGCTTCAGAGGACTGTCGGCTTGGGACCTAACCAGTTTGAGGTGTCCGTGTCACATCTGCATGAAGACGTACAGCAGGCAGTTGTGTACACGGGTCCAGAACTTTCTGGAGAGGCCTGGGTTAGAGATACGTGATGAATGCCATTAGTGTAGGTGTGGCAGTTACAGCCAAAGGGCAGCAAACACGAGATTGCTACGGGCCATAGATAAAAGGGCACAAAGCTGGCCGACCTTTTTTGGGGGGGTGGGGGAGCATACAGTGTTTTTAACCATTATCATCAGCTGTCACTGATCAGATACCATATAAAAATTTAGATTTCTGGGTGCTTGGGAAAAGGGGTAGCTGCCCACTGTGGCTAAATAGTGGCTGCCTCTTTAAAGCGGGTGTGCTCCCTGTTTCCCTGTTGTGAGCTTTCCGTCTGCTTCACTCTCTCCCCTCTCTCCCCGCCCTCCTCCCTCACGTGGTCTCGCCGTGTAGCTAAATGTCCCAAACTGGAAGCTGTCGGCCTTCTTCAGGTTCGGACTCAGAGCTGGCGGGGTGTCACTACACATTAGGGTGTTCCCAGAGAGCCCCGGGGCGGCCCAGATTCAGGGCGGGAGGGCAGGGGGCGGGGTGAGGGTGACCCCTCTGTGGGAGGGGGAGACCCTGACCCACTGAGGGCCGCCTTTTACCACCGCTGGAGAGCAGGCACGGACCAGAGCACGAATGACTTTGTCTGCCAGACTGACAGTTTTGGACTTTATTTTGTAGGACACAAACATTAAAAGATTGTATGCCCTGGCCGATGTGGCTCAGTTGACTGGAGTGTTGTTCTGCGAACCGAAAGGTCGCAGGTTGCATTTCTGGTCAGAGCACATGCCTGGGTTGTGGGTTCTGTCCTGGCCAGGGCGCATACAGAAGGCAGCCAATCCATGCTTCTCACACGAAAGCTTCTCTCCCTGTCTCCCCCTGCCCTCTCCTCTGTCTCAAATCAATAACCATGCCCTTGGGTGAGGATTAAAAAAAGATCTTATGCATGAGACCAGCAAGCACTGTATATCCAGCCAGTCAGATTTGATGCTAATACTCAATTTTGGATAGATAGTCAAAGAAAGTAGTTAACAAATGCTTACATAGCCCTGACTATGTTCCAGACCCTTTTCCAAGTGCTCGTGAATATTAATTCGTTTTAGATAAGATGAGTGACACACTGTTAGATGACCAGACAGGGAATGAATGCTGTAACACTGTACCAGGTCTCCCAGAATACATTGCACTGAGCTTTGGAAAATGTCTAGGATCATGTCGTCAAATATTTTTCTGAAGTGGTTTTGTCCTGTTGCTTAATCAACTTGCGTCGCGTTTCCTTTTCCCAGTAGAGGGCCCGTGTTCACGAACTTGTGGGTGGCTCTTCCAGTAAATGTTTTTCTGCAGAAACTTTCTTCCCTTGAAATTATCACCTGAAAAGTATCACCAGTGTTCACACAGTTGCTATTTTAGAGTTTCCTTTCATTCCTGACTCTTCTCCACTTCCAGTTCTGCTGTCTCGCCCTCTGTCTTCTCTCTGAAGTCTGGCTCCCCCTTCCCCCGTCTACCCCTGGTTTCCTGGCACGCATCTCGGTCATCTCGCGCGCCCACCGCAGCCCACTTCTCTGCGCTAAGCCTTCCCCCGCTCTCCTGTCATTCCGCACCAGTCTCACACGTAGACGGGACAAGGTAAGATTTACTTACTCGTCATTTTTATTCCCATTTATTTTAAGAAAATGCTCTACGACATTTTGGAAACCAGCTATTAAAGGTAGTACCATCAGGGGAAATATTTTGAAGCGTCGCGGTCACTGTGAGTACACAGGTGTGAGTGCACACGGTGCTCAGACGGCCGAGCCCGGGCGTCCTGTAGGCTGTCCTCAGTGCCCTTTCCGACCTGGTAGCGAAACCCCTGAATGGAGGGTTGGCAGTGGCAGAAACAGCGTAGCACGATGCAGCATTTGACGGCTGGCTTTTCCCCCAAAGACCCCAGTATTGTTGCGTTTTTTCCTATTACGTACCTTCTCGTTGTTTTCTGCCAATACAACTGAGTTTAGCATCCATTTTGGAGTTAAATTATCATAATATTCCACCAGCACACCCCTGTGGTTTATGAACACTTTATTCCCTAATAACTTCGGGGTCCCCGTGGTTTGGGCGGCGCTGACGTCGGCCAGAGACAGCACGTTCCCTCCTCCCTCGGAAGCAGAGAGAACCGGGTGCTGCTCACAGCGCTGAGGCCGGGTCTGGGTTCTCAGGCGGTCGGTGGGCGCCCGGGGGAAGGCACTGAAAGCTTCCTCTCTGGGGGTTAGCCGGCTGGTGGTTAATACTATGCAGGGAATACTTTGGTCTAGGTTATTTAAGAAGAAACTCATTTAAAAAAAGGAAATGCGGTGATGTTAAGTTTTATACTGCTTCCTGTTGAAATCCATCCTGAGTAGTTTCAACTTTTCAAATGAGTTTTAGAACTAAAGGTAGTTTAGTGGAAACTTTATGTCTGAATCCTTATGTGTTACATAAACAGTCTTGATAATCGGCCCTTTCTTTTGGATGAAAGAAGAGATTATTTGTGTAGGACTTGAAGTGACTAATGAGAAATGTGGCTTAAGTGTCACTTTATTTTTTTCTAAAACGTGCACACTCATAAGAATGGGAAGTTTGCAAGAAATTTCTGAAAGCTATAAATGTAGAATAAAGATACCCCAACGTGGAAGTAGTAAAGCTCTTTGCGAAGTGGGGTTTTCTGCCCCTTGAGAGAGTCACAGTCTTTGGTACTAGTTTTTCTCCAGACCTTGTGTCACACTAGACGTAGGTGTTTTCTGGAAAGAGAAGAAACTTCACCAGATTTTTTAATGAAATTTAATCAACTTAATGATTTGAAACAAAATTCTATGAAACATCGCCGACATCAAGTCAGCAGTGTGACTATTTGTGCCCGTTACGGTTTCTTCAGAGGGGTCTTCATAGTCACTTCTAAGTACACTCCTTAGCGCTGAGCGACAGAGGTTGGTGGCCCAGTCCTGGCCTGTGTCCGAAGGGGGTGGCCTGCAGTCCTGCCCCGTGTGGCTCTTCAGCCCCGTGCTCTCGTCACGCCATCCCCTCAGCTCCCTGGCGTCTCCTTCGGATTCGTGCCAGAGCATCCTCAAGACAAACATCTTAACAGGTTCCTGTATCCACAGCGTGGTCTCAAGTCTTGAACGTTTAACCCCACCCAGACTAGGGAAGGCACGATTTTGAAGACCTCTTAGGCACTACGCTATGTCCAGCCTTCCACAGCTGTTCCTGGGCAAGCTATATGCCCGGTTGAGCTAGCTGGTACTTTCTAAGGCATTACTGGGGGTGTTTTTGCCTGTTGAAAACAAAAATTCTTTGTACGAGAAGACAACCTTGAACAAAGTCTCAGGGCACTAAGGTCAGAAAATAAACCGTTAAGGTATTCACACAGAAGCATTTGCCTATCCCTAAAGTAGCTGCGTCTCACCCAAATGGGAAACTGTTTTCGCAAGCCGGGAGAAGACAGTGTGTCCGCCGAAAAGGCACGGACCCGGCCCTTGGTCAGCGGCCGCCGTGCTGTCCTCCTCGGTGTTTCCCCTTCCTTGCTCGGATGCCGGTTCTTCCTGTTCCTCTTCTGGGCGTTTCTTCTGCCTTTAGCCTCCTCCAGCGTCAGCAGAACAGAACCTAATTCCATGGGATCCAACTTCAAACATTTCTCATGTAAATTTGCTCTAAAAGTCTAGTTGAATATAATAATCTTTCCTTTTGTAACTCAGTAAAAGTAGACTTGCGTATCCATAAACATTATGCTTCATATGTAGACAGCTAGTAAGTGCGCTTTGCCTGGTTCTCGAAAGTGTCAGTGAGTTCATTTTCAGTTGTTGCATTGACCCGTCTCTGGGGTCCTCAGATGCCGGTTGACTGCGTAAAGCAGGGTGTCAGGCTCATGTTCACCGGGGGCCACATCAGCCCCACGGCTGCCTTCAAAGGGCCGAATGTAATGTTAGGACCGTGTACATGTAACTAACTACTCCTTGACAGTTAAGCGAGAGCTCGGCGCTGCCGCCGGGTAGAAACAAGGTGCCAGGCCGGACAAAACACAAGGCGCCGAGCCGGACAAAACACGGTGGAGGCCGGGTTCGGCCCGCGGGCCTTGTGTTCGCTGCCTGTGCCGTAAAGGGATCGTTCTAAGATGAAATTAAATACTAACAAAGTCTTATTTGTAGAGCATACTTTCTGTTACAATGATTCCATTTCCATAGGTCTTCCTTGAGTCTTTGTATCCTTCCTTAAATCCCTCCCTCCCCTTTTTTCACAGCAAAGGACAAGGTGGCTCTTTTGATAGGCAACATGAATTACTGGGAGCACCCCAAGCTGAAGGCCCCGCTGGTGGACGTGTATGAACTGACCAACCTGCTAAGGCAGCTCGACTTCAAAGTCGTCTCCCTGCTGGATCTGACCGAGTACGAGATGCGCAATGCTGTGGACGAGTTCTTGCTGCTTTTAGACAAAGGAGTATACGGTAAGGTGTTTATAATCTTCATTTTAATAACTATCCACTATTTTTCACTGAACAAGTTAGGGTTAAGAGTTAAAACTCAAGGAAAGGTGCAGTAAACACATTGTTGAATTGAAGACTTACTGTGTTTAAAAAAAAAGGAATAGACTTGGGCTTCATACTACAGTTCCATATGAATAACTAAATAGCTTAATTCATTTATTTCCATGTTTTTTGTTTTGAAAACAGCATCCTTCTTATTAGAATTCTGACTAGTCCCGGGTGATCTTGCTTTCTTTTGTCAATGGAGACAGAGCACACGATGATGTGTGGCAGATTGTGCATCGTAGATGTAAAATACCCCCGTCTTGCTCTGTGTGTGTGTGTGTGTGTGTGTGTGTGTGTGTGTGTGGTGTAAAAGGTTGTAACCCATGTGCATGCTGAGTTTCTTTTTTCTGACTGTTGCATGGTGTTTACTGGTCCATTAGTGGAAACTCGAGTTTAACAAAGAAATGTTGGTGAATGAGGCATATGAAACTTTGTAAACCAAAGTTTTAGGTATCTGTCGTTAATGGTGCACCTCCACAAACATTGTAACAGTACATTTTTTATGGTTTTTCTCAGTCTTTCATTTAAATATATTAGTTCTCCATGTACGGTAATGATTTTCTAAAGACACAGAGGAGGCCGTCCATAGTGATTTTTTGTAATTTATTTCTTTTCACGGGAGTCACCACGGACGTGGGAAGGCCGCTGCTGCGCCCTTTTGAGCCGCGTGTCCCAGCAGCCGCGTCTGGTCTGTCGCGGTGCCGCAGCGGCGTTTGACAGCTGGGAGGGGGAATGTCCAGCCGTTAAGCTGCCTGTGATCAACGAAAAGCATCAGTTCGGCTTCTCTGTCTTTCCAGTTCTTTCACATCAGGAACACCTAAATTCAGCCTTATTTACTATCCGCCTGATGTGATGAGGCAAGCTTGGTGGAATCGGTGATGGATCGTGAAGAATTTTTAATGGAAAACAGGATTTTTTTCTAGATTTAACACTTTACTCTGAATCGGAGAGTGTTAAACTCTTATTTAAATGAACTTTTCTTAATAAGGATTACAATTATAACACAAATGAATCAACAATATAAATACCTCAGATTTTGGATTCATGTATCATGCTGACATAATAACATAATCTTGTTTACGAGCGTTAAGGAGTGGTCACTGTGAGTGAATGTGTTCATTTTTCTTATGAAAACAGGATAGAGTAAACTATATAAATTTGCCTCCTTGGTAATTGGTTTATATTTCTAGTATAGAATAAGGTGGTGGTTTGATTATTGTTATATATTATTTATCTCCATTTTTAAAGTGTCTAGATGGCTTAAACAGGAAACAGTTTCTAAAACTCTATTAAAAGTAGTGAGATGCAGGAAAACAACATAAACTAATCTAGGTTTGGGGGCAGGTGAGGTGCTTTAGGAGTGAGGCGTGAAACCCCGCCCCCACCTGTGTCTCCGCGGGGCGGCCGCGTGAGTCCCGAAGAGCTGCGGGTGCCCAGACATGGGACTCCTCTGCCCCGAGTGAGTGCGGTGGAGGCCCCAGGGGTGCGGGCCTGTCTCCTGGACTGTGCCTCTCCCTCCCGCAGCTGCCCCAAGGGACAGAGGGCACCCTGGCACCCGGGGGAGGCAGAGGCTGTGTCACAGGAATCTCAGCGTGAACCGAGGCCTTTGAGTAAGTCAGATCAGCCCCCCCTCGCCCCTCCCACTAGCTGCCTGGCTGCCACCAGTTTACTTAACTTTGCTAAGCCAAAGAGGATTTATCACATGGGCAGACTAATGGAATGAGGTGGTTACAGAAGAAAGAAGATAAAAGTTATCTCTGTGCCTGGCACACTAAAAGTGTGCAAGGTGTTGTAGCTATTATTACTGTAATTTCCTGAATTCAAGTTTCCCTTCCTCTTTAGATGGGGGGTTTGAACTAGGTAGCATTCTACTTCAGACTTCGGTTAGAGATACCAGCTTCTATGTCTCGTATAAATTAAGGTTCAGCCTAAGATCTCACTTGGAAAAAAAAAAAAAGCCGGGTGGCTCAGTTGGTTTAGAGCATCACCCAGATGCACCAAGGTTGTGGGTTTGATCCCCAGTCAGGGCACGTGCAGGAATCAACCAATGAATGCAGAAATAAGTGGAACAACCGTTTGATGTTTCTCTCTCTCTCTAAAACAAAAAAGCAATGTAAAAAAATTAACTTTTGCCCCTTTTTGTCCTCTTCAGGGTTATTATATTATGCGGGACACGGTTATGAAAACTTTGGAAACAGCTTTATGGTCCCTGTTGATGCTCCAAACCCGTATAGGTCTGAAAATTGCCTGTGTGTGCAAAACATACTGAAATTGATGCAAGAAAAAGAAACCGGACTCAACGTGTTCCTGTTGGACATGTGTAGGAAAAGGTGAGCCATCTCCTCTCTAGTTGGTGAAGCTGGTCGAAGTTAGAGTCAGGCTTGGCAAATTCCACAGAGGGCAGACCTGCAAATGCCAAGATTCAGTCTGCAAATTGTATGGGTTGAAGCTGATGAAGAAGAAAAGTGGAGGAAGATAGATTTTCTCTATGTGTAATGAATTGTTTTAGCCCTTTCCTGTTTCCTGTGGAACAAAAGGGAGGAACTGAACTCGCACTACAAAACGTGCAGCTCCCCAGGTGCCTCCGGAGGTCCACCACTTTACTGGCTTCTCCATGGGGTCACCGCAACACCCCCTTAGCGTCGGGGCCTCTGGTCACTCTGGCCAGTCCTGCTCGTGCGGGCACAGAAATCCAAACTGACCCAGGTCCCACCTGTTCGCGCCCCTGTGTTAGTTACAAGGGAATGGAACTAATGATTATTCCTCTTAGATTCACAGTTTTTTGCTTGCTCAGTAATTACTAGCCAAAATCCAGTGCCAGAGTTCACATGGTAACTCCAGTTTCAATGCTAACAAGGAAAAAGAAGTGACTGCCCACTGTCTCAGCAGTGGGGGTGCCCTGGATTATTTTTGGTAAATATGTAGGTCAAGGGTGTCAAACTCATGTTCCCCGGGGGCCACATCAGCCTTGCAGTTGCCTTCAAAGGGCCGAATGTAATTTCTACTCCTTAACAGTTAAGGAGTAGTTACATTTATACAGTCCTAAAATTATTTTGGTTCTTTGAAGGCAACCGCAAGGCTGATATGGCCCCTGGTGAACATGAGTTTGGCACCCCTGATGGAGATGATTTGATAAAGGAATTTTTAATCTATAATTTTAAATTACATGTGATAGAGTAGTGTTGTGTCATATTTTTATTACATTATTACTTGTGCTCCTTTTTAAAATGTTTTTAACTCCTTCTGTTTATATCTGACCTTCTCCCTTCCTGCCTCTGAAACAGAAATGACTACGACGACACCATCCCAATCTTGGACGCACTGAAAGTCACGGCCAACATCGTGTTTGGATATGCCACGTGAGACTGGTTTTTAGAAATAGAGGAAGGGGGGGGTGAGAGGAGGTGGAAGGAGAGAAACATTTATGTGAGAAACATTGATCAGTTGCCTCCTGTATGCACCCCAACGGGGGAACCCAGGCATGTATGTGCCCTGCCCAAGGATTGAACCCGCAACCCTTTTTTGGTGCACAGGATGACGCTCCAACCAACTAAGCCACCTGGCCCGGGCAGAAACTTTTATGTATATGTTCACAATCCTTTAATCTTCATTAATTTTTCACTGGAGTTTAGAAGCCTAGAAATATCCATAGATATGTAGGCATTCATTGGCCTCCTTGATATTCTTGATAGCAAATTTTAAATAATTGACTTAATCACTGCATCATGGCACCTTTTTTTTTAATAGATTTTATTTATTTATTTTTAAAGAAAGGGGGAGGGAGGGAGAAAGAGAGGGAGAGAAACATCAACATGTGGTGGCCGCTTACGTGGCCCCCAACCCAGGCATGTACCCTGACTGGGAATCAAACCAGCGACCCTTTGGTTCACCGCCCGCTCTCAGTCCACTGAGCTACACCAGCCAAGGGCCGCACTTTCTTTTTGCTAAGCACCAAAGCACGTCGTTCTTGTGCGGAGATGAACTCTTTAGTTAGGATATCCCGCTGAGGCGGACAAGCAGAGAACCCTCATCAGTAACTTACAGAAGCCCCACATGGCGAGTATTAGCTTTTAGAATTTTTTTTCTTTTTGTTGTTTTTAAGGTGTCAAGGAGCAGAAGCTTTTGAAATCCAGCACTCTGGATTGGCAAATGGAATCTTTATGAAATTTTTAAAAGATCGATTATTAGAAGACAAGAAAATTACCGTGTTACTGGATGAAGTCGCAGAAGGTAAAGAGAAAGCTATTCAGGGTTCTCTGTGTGGTAATTATTTTATACCTACTGTTGTGCAGGTTTGGAATTAATACTCGCTGTATACAATAATCTTCAGCACAATGTTCAGCAACGCTGCTGTTTAGTTCCCTCCCTCCTGACTCAGCGGCAGGCCGCCTGCGCGGCGTCCCTTGGACTCCAGACGTAAGGAGAAGGACAGTGTGATCGGCTGAGCCCTGCCCCGTGTTTCCGGGCCTGGTGCCTGCTGCCGCCCGTCCTCCGTCCGCTTGTTTGCAGAAAATCGTAGCCAGCATTCTCTCGCAGGGCCAGGTGGATGACACTGTGCAGCAATGGGGAGGCCCGGGCGGAAAAAATTGGGTTCGCTTTTTTCTTGATGAGCTTAGTGGTTTTAAGCGTTTGCTTTAAAGGCATGACCCCAGAGGTCTGACACCACGTCTTCCATTTCCTGCCGGCCCGTAGGCTGCCGCGCTCGGGTCAGGGACTGGATGGGCACCCGCACGCCCACAGACGTGCGTGCTTTGAAATACCACTTCAGAAGCCATCTCAAAGAGAAGGCAGTTCTTTCGCCAATGAGTTCCTGGTGTTCCACAGGTGTTCCAGAAACGGCAGTTTGAGAATCAGGCGTCTGAGCATTTCGCTGACAGCTGTTTCCCACAGTGTTTATCATCCTGCCGTGGCCAGCGCAGGTCTTGCAGCGGGGTCACCGAGTCACTTTCCCGTGTCACAGAGACAGCTGGGCCGTCCTGGCTTCCTGCAGCCGGAGTGGTTCTGCTTTTACCTGCTTTACATATCAGGCTTCTATTTTAGCTCTTGTTTGAAGAAAAGTTGCTGCTGCTTTAAAAAAGCAGTTGAAGCCTTGGGACTATGTCAGTTCTTTTCAAGCTGAGGTCTGTGAAAGTGTCTCAGAGACCCTAAAAGGTGTTATCCTAGTGTTACACTCTAAATATAATTGACCTGTTTTTAAGACTCAGTACAAAGCACCAGCTCACCCACATACGACACACACCAAGCATGTGCACAGCACAACGTTCGTGTTAAGTTCAAAACCCAGTGCTCAGACGCACCCCACTCGCCAGCACCACGTGGGGTGCGTGGGAGCACACCAGCACGTCGGCCGGTGGTCTGGGCCGGGCGGTGGCCGGGCTTCAGCCATGCCGGTGGTTTTAACACATACTTTCCTTTTTAGAAGATCAAGAAATCTGTGGTAAAGACAGGATACTTAAACTTTCTCAGAGGTGTCGAGTCCTGTGTCTGCTCACTGAATCTGTTTCTCGGCAGAGCAAAGACATCAAGTCACCCTGCCTGCCCGTTAGTGGAGAAACGCACTTCCCAGCTCTCTGTGACTCCAGGCGGAGGGTCTCGGGGCTTCGTTATGAGGGCTAGAGTAAGATAAAAGCTAGAGAGGGGCCCTCAGAAGTGAGCTGGTTCAGCACTTTTTTTATCTGTTCGCCCCCTGCCGTATCCCTAGCACGGGGAGCCATGCCTGACACGTTGAGGTGCTTAGTAACTGTTTGCTGAGTGAATAAATGATGTGAGGAGTGTAACCTGATTCACAGGAGAGTCCTCGGCCTGAGCATTTAAAATGTGATAAAAAGGTTATGGTTAAACATAGTGTTTACTTCTTGTCTTTAGATATGGGCAAATGCCATCTTACCAAAGGCAAGCAGGCCCTAGAGATCCGAAGCAGCTTGTCGGAAAAGCGGGCACTGACGGACCCCATACAGGGAACGGCGCACTCCGCGGAGTCTCTGGTGCGGAACCTGCAGTGGGCCAAGGCACACGGTACGTGTGCTCACGTCCGCTTCTCGCGCGCCCTTGCCGTGCTGGCCTTGAGTCATGCAGCGGCGAAGTGTTTCTCCTCCCAAGGATGCAGCGCTCCTCCCAGTTTCGCAGTGAGGATACTTCAGCCTAGTGGGCGAGCACGGGTCTATGCAGACGTTTCCGTCGGAGGTGTTACACCGATGCACGAGATGCTGGAAGCTGTAAATTGTTTCACTCCTGTTTACCATTAGTGAAATCAAACTAGGATCGTTAAAAAATGACTTTCAGTTTATCTGATATTCAGTCCTCTAGATTGTCCTGTAGGTGAGCTGTTAAATGCTCCATTTCAAAGATCAGATGGGCCCGGGTTCCGCCGAGCCTGGCAGACAGGACAGCTGTGAGGCGGGAGAGGAGGCGGCACTGCTGGCCGGGCTGTGGGCGGTGCTCGGCCGAGGTCACACCGGTACGGAGACCGCCTGGCATCGGCAGACCCCTCTGCCCGTGAGTGTCCCCAAGCACCAGGCCCCTCTGCCCGTGAGTGTCCCCAAGCACTTCGTCCCCGACACCTGAGTCAGTGGGTTTGGGATGAGGAGAAAAGAGGGTGAGGTGCGGTTCGTATCTGGGCCTTAACGCCCGTTGATAATGCTATGGGATTTCGTGGAAAAGTTTAAATTACTGACTGAGGAAGAGAGTATGGGGGGATAAAGGGTAATGGAAAAAATGCAATAAAAATGAGTTACTGAAAAAAAAGGAAAAAGAAAATACCCCTGAAGAAGAAAAAATAAATCAATAGAAAATAAATTATTGACTGAAGTGAAGATTTCAGATTTTCTATTAGTCCCAAATAGCTATGCTGTGATTCCTCATTGTGGATATTTGAAAATAATTGTTTTTGTTGAACTCTTATATAATATCATTTTGATAATATATGAAAAGATATCTTTTTTTTTTTAAAGATTTTATTTATTTGCGGTTACTGAGGGTCATGGCCTGCACCCCAGGCATGTGTCCTGACTGGGAATTGAACCTGCGACACTTTGGTTTGCAGCCCACGCTCAATCCACTGAGCTACGCCAGCCAGGGCTGCAAAGATATCTTTTGAAACATTAATATGTTAAAGCACATTAAAATGTAAAATGCCATAAATATATTATCGTGGCATTCTAGATCATTGGATAAATAATTAAAATTGATTATTTTTTCTTTAAAAAATCTCTAATCAGCAGTAACAAAATCGCAGCGGTAAAGATCAACAGCAAACAAATCCTTTCTATAAAATGAAAGTGAATGGTCAAATAGAAAGTATTTGTAACAAATTTTATAAGTAGAAAATTTTTAAAAATATTTTTATTTATTTTTACAGAGGGAAAGGGAGAAAGAGCCGGAGAGAAACATCAGTGTGTGGTTGCCTCTCATGTGCCCCCTGCTGGGGACCTGGCCCACAGCCCAGGCATGTGCCCCAACCAGGAATCAAACCTGCAACCCTTTGGTTTGCAGGCCAGCACTCAATCTGCTGAGCCACACCAGCCAGGGCATAAGTAGAAAATTTTTATAATAAAGAACTCAAATGCAAAATAGTAAAACAAACATTAACACTCCCCTTAATAATCAAAGGATGTAAATTCAGTAGTTCACACAGTTGAGAATTTATTAATAATTAAGAAGCAAATATTAGAAAATGGCAAAGCAAAATAGTAATCATGGAAAAGAAAATTAAATCTATGAAGGCATAGGTCTTTTTAACCCCGTCACACAGGTAAACGTTTTGAAAATGAACGTTACCTTGTGGAAATGTAGCGGAGAAGCCGGGGGCGGGGGTTACATTCTGTGTGAATGGAGAGCTGTCGCAGTTGCGAGGAGCCATCCAATGGCCGTCTCCAACCGTCCGGGAGCCCTGAGTGTGTGCAGGACATAGGCCTGTGAATGTAGAAAAACCACGAAACCCAGAAACGTCGGGTTCAACAGCAGCCTAACTATGAAAGGCGGCAGACCACTGAGTGGCGTTTTGCTTTATCAAAACTGTTTTTGTGAAAATTGTGGCAACAGGAAAAATATGTTTACAATTACATATGTGAAGGGATAAGAATGACACGGGAACAGTAAATGAAAGGTTTTTATTTGCTTGACCAACCATATTTGGGGCGCTTTTTTTTTTTTCTTTTCTGTTTTTTTAGACGGGTTCCTAGAACACCCACCTAGTGAGGGAAACCTGTATTACACACAAGGGACCCGCCCTTCAGAAGATAATTCTGGGGTTTTTTGGGGTCCCCCTTCATATGTTACTTCTATAACATTTTTAAGCAAGAGAAAATGTTCTCACTGTATAAAGAATAACCTGATAAAGAACGTTTGTTTGCTGTTTGCCGTCAGCGAAGTTCACTCTGAATAACCACTTACAGCTGATTCTCACGGTTCCTCCTCAGAGCTCCCCGAAAGCATGTGTCTGCGGTTTCAGTGCGGTGTCCAGGTCCAGCTAGGGTTTGCAGCCGAGTTCTCCAACGTCATGGTCATCTACACGAGCATCGTCCACAAGCCACCCGACATAATGATGTGTGACGCCTACGTCACCGATTTTCCGCTTGTAAGTCCCGCCTTTTTTTTTCCAATGTAAAATCTAATAAACGATATGCTCACTTATTAAAAACTATATTTTGGAAGACTTGAAGTTGTTGGTAAATATTTTTTAAAAATATGTATACATATATAACATATATAAATACTTGTGTGTATTTTAGTAACAGTGGCCATGTTATTTGGAAGCTCATTGCCACCATATTTTAAATTTGTTAAGTTTAGAAATGTCTAAAGTTCACTCAGGAATTTCCCATGCCCTCAACGGGATATCAAACGTGAAGGAATAAAACGTTATGCTAATCGTATGTGAAGAATAATTTCCACTTAAAAACCGTTCATTCCAATATGAGTTATTACAGTAGTCTTTTTTATCGAGTTATGGTAGAACGGAAGCCTAGTTCTGTTCTTTGCAAGCACTTAGATACGATTGTCTGTGTGTTGCTGAAAGGAGCCCGGGAACGGTGCGGCTCCTTCCTGCAGAGGGGTAGGAAGCTGAGAAGGAAGCAAGGAGCCAGACACACCCAAGACAGCATCCTCACTCCTGATGAAGCCTCCGGGGAGGACGGGGAGGACGTTACTTAGTGTGAGAACAGGTGGCACAGCACGGAACCGTGGAGTTAGCCCTGCCCCGGCTGCGGCAGCGCAGACTGGGACGGGCGCCCTGGGCTCCGGGCAGTGCAGAGTCGGGGCTTCTCGCTGGAGGCGCAGAGCGGAGCTGCTCTCGCCCAGGCTCAGCTCCACAAGGAGGAGGAAGGAAGGGCTGCCTTCGGCGTGTCCATTCATTCTTCTTCAGCGGCCGAGTCACATAAACCCTTCTGCACCTTTCCAGAAGTGGTGGATGAGGAAGGAGAGAATCCAGGAGTCACTGCATGGAGCTCGTAATTAAAAGGAACCTTGAGTAGGTTAAGAAGTGTTTCTAGGGCTGGTTTGAAAGTAACTGTCCTTTCAGAGCTAACTTTTTAAATGTCCCGTCGCAGAATTTAAAGTTCCTATTATCACTAGAGCATTGCGCTCATTGTTTCTTTGGTCCGGGATAAATGATTATCTATTTAGGCCAATATTCCCGAGAGAACAAGACCCGTTAAAACGCCTTATTGTCATGGATGATGCTGGGACTTCCATTGATCTCATTAATGATGTTGATTGGTTTTCACAGGACCTAGATATTGATCCAAAAGATGCAAATAAAGGGACACCTGAAGAGACCGGCAGCTATCTAGTATCAAAGGAGCTTCCCAAGCATTGCCTGTACACTAGACTCAGTTCACTGCAGAAACTAAAGGTTACTACTTTTCCTGTTCATAATCAATGGGGGACTTTAGGAAAGTGAAAATTTGCTTTGGCATATGAACCTTGTACTAGGATGTGCTGCTTCAGTTGAGTGTGAAATTGAAGTAGAGACAAGTGATCTACAGTGAATCTTAGCAAGGGCCCTTTTCGTGTTAGATTCCGTTTCTGACGCGGTCCTGAGGGTTTGGGCGTGAAAGTGTGTGTGATTACCCTCCATGTTGTTGGAAAGTTAGAGACAGAGCGTAGTCTGCTCTTAAATATCTCAGCACTTTCAAATAATCATTTCCTAGTTCTATGACTTTCTACAAAACAAGTAGCAAATTAGAATTAGTAATTACTTTGATCTTTTTTTTTTCATTTCCTGCTAACTCATAAATCAAACACTATCTCTACATGGTAGAGCTTTCTCATAAAAGCGTGTCCTTGCCAGCCTGCGTTTTTAACTGATGTACAGCTGCATGGCCACGGAATGTGGCAGCCAAAACTCGGGGAGTGGCGTGGGCACCGTTGACAGCTGCAGGGGGACAGCACACATGGACCTGTGGTCGCCCTGGTCATAGCTAATCGACACTCTCCTTCTGCCTACGCACATCAGCCCGTTTTCTGATTCGGTTATACCACCTGTGATTGCGGATTCTTACTGCACAGTACTTTAAAAACTGCTGATCTTTTGACTTGGGTATAAAGCCAGATTTTGGTTTCGTTAAAGGATCATTCCCCGTCTCTAATAGTAAGGAAGGGAAAGTTTCTGAAGCCCCACCTCTTGGAAAATACCTTTTCACCCTTCGTCAAGGATGTAATACCAGACCTCTGTAATTTTGACCACCTTCAATAGTAAGAACTAGAATTACATTCATTCAAAGCATCAATTGAGGGAGGAGGAAGATGATGATAGCCAGCCTTTCTCAGGATATCCTGCCACCCCAGGATGAAGGTGGCAGGGGTGTTCAGCTTTTTGGCGTCTCTGGGCCACCCTGGAAGAAGAGTTGTCTTGGGGCACACAATACATTGTGACACGTAATCTCTCACACACACACACACACGTACACAAAATCTCAATGTTTTAAGTAAATTTACGACATTGTGTTGGGCCACATTCGCAGCCATCCTGGGCTGCGTGTGGCCCTCGGGCCGCGGGTTGGACGCCCCAGCGCAGCGAAGGAGACCCTGAGGTCTTGAACCTGGAAAAGGAGAGTTGCTGGCGGATGTCCGCTGTTGTCTGTTTCTTCCTGTACTTGCGTCAGGGGTACTTGAAGACCGAGGAGGTTCCGCGGTTGATGAAAATAACAGACCGTTCTCCTTTCCCTTTTCAGGAACAGCTCATCTTCACGGTGTGCTTGTCGTATCAGTACTCGGGGCTGGAAGACACCATCGAGGAGAAGCAGGAGGTGAACGTGGGGAAGCCTCTCATCGCCAAGCTGGACATCCACCGGGGCTCGGGGAGGAACACGTGCTTCCAGACCTGCGTCATGTGCAACGGCCCCTACCCGAGCTCCGCGCCCGCCCCGGCCGGGCTCTACCACCCCTCGCAGGACTCCTTCCTCGGCGTCTACCACTCGCATCTCGGCGACTCCGGCAGCGTCCCGCCGTCGGACAGCTGCCACTGCAGCCGGACTGCAGACGCCTTCATTTCCAGTCACCACGCGCACCGGTACACGTCTCCGTTCGGGGGCAGTAACGTGCCCGTCGAGACCACCGACGAGATCCCGTTCAACTTCTCCGACGGGCTCAGGATCTCTGAGAAGTGACCTCCTCGCTTTTGAAAGTTACAGTTGCCAGATGCCTCCGACGCAACAGTACTTGTGGAAAGTGGGGTGTTGTGGAAAGGCACATGTGCATGTAGGGAGGGAGAAGTAAGAGCCGTCCCCTGGTGAGCTCAGGACTCTGAGCTGAGCTGCTGGATCTCTATTGTTCAACCACAGACTTCCGCGTCCTGCTTTCTCGGTGAAGGCCTCGGCCGATGGGTTCTGTGAGAGGGAGGTACCGATGTGGGCGTGTTCATTTGTACATAACAGAAGTATTTCCATTTTGACCACCCTGAAGGGAGAACACTGGGAATGGCATCACTGTGGAATAAATCCTTGCATTTTCAGAGCCAGAAAAAGGATCTCTGTGATGCTCAGGCTCACCCGGATTTGATGAGGGGAGGAACACACCGCGGCGTCTGGTTCAAGTGGGAGCTGGCACTGCGACCCCCGGATTTCCAGCCTGGGATTCTGCCGCGCGCACCGCCTTCCCGACGGGCTCGGGGACGGGCATCGCATGTGCAGACAGGGGTGAAGACAGTGTGGAATCGTGGGTATCTGCACGTAAACTAGACGTGCGCAGGCTTTAGTCTGCGATTATAGGACTTGGCTGCTAATGTCAGTTAAGAGGTTTGCATGTAAATTTTACGTAGAACAAGCTGAAGTTTTTTGGTCTGAGGTCAAGAAAGCGCATGAGCGGTGACAAAACGTGTGTCTCTGTAAAAGCTGGACAGCAGGATGGGGACAGCAGGGTGGGGGATAACCATGCGACCGGGGAAAACCCGGCGTCCGCCTGCCTGAACCCTACGAACACTTGGACGTGTCTTCCTTGGTAACACGCGCCTTCTTACTGAACTTGACCCACCTTGGAAGTAATCTCACCACCTTACTCCTTAAAGTTGTTCTGCCCCAAAGCAAGTTTAAAACGTAGCTGTCGATAACAAAGAGAAAATTGTGTTTGTAATTTTAAAACATTCCACAAGGAAAATCTCAGGCGCAGATGGCTTCCCTGCTGTATTCTACCAAACATTTAGAGATTAACGCCCATGCTGCGCTGACGTGGAACCAAAGACATCACAAACTACAGACCAGTGTCTACTGTGAGTGTAGATTTAAAAATCATCAGCAAAGTACTAGCAGACTGAATCTGGCAACGTATAAAAAGGCTTGTACACCATGGCCAAGTAAGATTCACCCCAGGGTCCCACGGTCAGTGTAACACCCAAAAATCAGTGTGCTGTGCAAAGGAGTCTTGCTCACAGTAGGCACATCCGATAAAGTCACCGGTAATACTGAGTTAGAGACTGTGCAGCTGTAGCCCCTGGGGGGAGTGTGCCAGAGCTGGAATTCGAGCCTGTCCGACTGGCCCCGGAGCCTGAGCCTCTTGCACTGCCCTGTCCCCGCCCACTCCGTCCCGGTCGTCTCTGAGGGAGAGCGGGAACGAGCAAGTGTCGGCTCGTTCGGCCTCAGCTGAGAGCACGCGCCGCAGGGAACTCCGGGTCCTCGCTAGTCTGCACACGTCTGTGAGTGATCCCAGAAGCGCCGCAGGTGTTGGTTTTGGGACCACAAATCGGCAGATCCACAAATTCAGAGTCACAAATCATGACTGACTGTACCATGTTCACAAAGGACAAAGTGACCACATGATTGTCTTGATAGGTGCAGGAAAAGCATTTGATAAAATTCAGCACCATTCACGATAAATGTGCTCAGCGAGCTGGGAGTGAGAGGGAACCTCCTCGACACAACGAAGGGCGTCTGTGAAACACCCACGGACAACGTCTCACCTGCCGGCAGCGGGCTGACTGCCGAGTCTGTCCTCCGAAGGTCGGGAAGGAAAACCGCGTTCTCTCGCAGCACCTCCACTCAGCATTGCGCTTGAGGTTCCAGCCACGGCAGTTAGGCAAGAGAAAGATAAAAGGCAACCATACTGGAAAAGAAAACTAGATCTATTTATAGGTTAATATATATATATATATATTCTCGGTATCTCGTTATGTAGAAAGTCCTAAGGAGTTCATTTAAAAATAAATCATTTCAATAGGTTATTGGGTTTGGTTTTGTTTTTTTTTTCATGAATGACAACTGTATTTTTTACACTTAAAAGCTGATGAAAAATCCTGATGGATTCTATTAAAGAAAATACAACATCTCAATTAAAAACTACAGTAACTATACTTACTCATTAAATACTACTAAGGCTTTCTAAAACACAACTTGAAAACATCAGGCACGCATGTTGAGTTTCAGTACAGAAGATCAAGACCAACCATACGTGTCCCCTCAGGGCTCGGTCACAAATTGTCATAGTCATCGACCTTGTCATGTTTTCTTTTCGACGCAGTTGGTGGTTCGCTGGCAGTATTTTTGCGGTGACACCACGTTAGTGGTAATAAGAATGGTTTTGGACCCAATTAATGACAGATTAATCAGTACATTCCGAACTGCTGGGGTTGCAGGAACAATGCTTTCACAGCTGGGGGCTGCAGCGTGGGCATTTGCACTGCAAACCTCTGCCCTGTGAGGGGCCTTGGAGCCCCTGCTGGAGGGGCTGGCGGGCCACGCCTGGGAGTCCTTGATCTGCTAGCGACTGAACTGACACTCAGCCGCAGAACCGTTACTCTTCCCACAGAAGTAGATGCCTTTTTATGCGAAGAGTTAAGTCTACTCTTTGGAGCGGTCAAGCCATGTCTGTCGGGTGGCGATCCAGGGCCTGAATGTGGCTTGATCGGTTGCAAAGGGGCTTGGTTTCTTTGCCTTGCAGCATCTAATTAAAAATCCCTTGGGGCAGGAGAGGTGGCAGACTGGTCAGCGTGACACTGGAGCGCCGTTCGCACATCGACAGTAGCTTTCTCAGTGCGGCTTGAGTAAACTCGTGCATCATCTAGAACTGTGGTCGCACACTGGGAGGGAAGCTCCAACGTCTGATTTACAACCCTTGGCTCGTCTGCTGTCAGCCCCTTCGCCCTCAGGACTTCCGCCATCACCTGTGCATCTGTGGGCTTTCCCTTGGGAGCAGCCGTCCTGCCAGACTCCGTGACACGCAGGGATCGGGCTTCTCCAGCTAAGTCACCCGCAGTAATGTATCTCAGCCCTGGTCTTGAGGCAAGTTGTTTGTCTATTGGGGTCTGGCCAGCCCCTGGGGCGATGGTGAGCAGGACGGTGGGAAACTCCGTGGTCCTCCATGTGGTGACACTCCAGTTTTATTTCTGTGCTAGCAATGCACGTTCTGAAATTGAGATTTTTCAAAAAATGCTCTTTACAGTGGCATCACGGTGAATAAAATGACAGAATATATTTGAAAGAAATTAAAGAAGACCTAAATAAGTGAGAAGACACCTCTGTTCACGGATTGGAAGACATCGTTAAGGTGGCGGCATTGCCCAAATTGCTCTACAAATTCCATGCAGTTCCTGCCAAAATCCCAGCTGATTTTTTTTTCAGGAATTAATAAGCTGATGATAAACTTCACGCAGAAATGCAAGGGACCCATAGCCAAAACAATTTCGAAAAAGAACAAAGCTGAAAGACTCACACTTAACCAGTTTCAAAACTTACTGCAAAGCTACAGTAATCACGACAGCGTGGTGCTGCCATAAAGATAGACATATAGACTAAGGGAATGTAAAATACAGCTGAGAGTTTAGAAATACACCCACCCATTTATGAGTTGACTTTTTGAAAAGGGCACCAATTCTGTTCAGTGGAGAAAGAGTTGTCTTTTCCACAGATAGTCCTAGAAAAACTGTATAACCCTGTGCTAAAGCACCCTGACCTTACACTGTATACAAATGTTCATTCAGAATGGATCATACACCTAATTATAAGAGTTGAGACTATAAAACTGTTAGAAAAAAACAGAAGTGAATCTTGGTGACCTCGGGCTAGGCAATGGTTTCTTAGACGCAACACCAAAAAAAAAAAAAACAACAAAGGGAAAAATTGGACTTCTTCAAAATCAACTTCTGTGCTTTAAAGAATGCTATCAAGAAAGTGAAAAAGACGCCCTGGCTGCCAACCAAAGGGCCGTGGGTTCAGTTCCCAGTCAGGGCACGTGCCTGCCATGGGGGCCAGGTCCCTGGTTTGGGGGTACGGGGGTGGAGAAGCAGCCAGTCGATGTGTCTCTCACACCGTGTATCCCTCACAACATGGGTGTTTGCCTCCCTCCCTCTCTCCCTCCCTTCCCCTCTCTCTAAAAATAAACATCTTTTTTTAAAAAGGGAGAAGCCACAGAATGGGAGAAAATTTTTGAAAATCATCCTGATAAGGGACTTGTATCCATAATATGTGAAGATTTTTTATGATAGGACATAACACACACACACACACACATATATATGCTGTGCTTCATTATGGCTGTCACAGAGCAGTAACCAATGACTGTCCCCTGGCTGTGATGACAGAGATGTCCTGTGTCTGCACTCTAACGTGGCAGCCTCTAACCCCGTGTGGTAACTGAGCAATGGAAATACAGCTAGTATGAGAACTCGATATTTTTTCTTGTAGTTTTAGTTTAGCCACATCTAGCTAAGGCTGCTGTATTTTGCTGCAGTGGAAGGTGGGGCTCAAAGGTAGGGTAAGGGGACTTTTACTCCTCACTTCATACTTCTCTGTACATTTGAATTTTTAAATTAAGCATGCATCTCCCCTGGCTGGTGTGGCTCAGTGATTGAGTGCCGACCACCAAACCAAAGGGTGGCCGGTTCAATTCCCAGTCAGGGCACATGCCTGGGTTGCAGGCCAGGTCCCTAGTTGGGGGTGCGTGAGAGGCAACCACACATTGATGCTTCTCTCTCTTTCTCCTCCCTTCCCCTCTAAAAATAAAATATTTTAAAAAGTAAACAAACATATCTGTCATTTTTTAATATTTTTAGATAACAGATGGTGCAGTTTTTGTCTTTTCAACCAACCATTGCTTTTATTTTATTTGAATCTCTTATGCTAATTGCTTTGCAATATTAGCCTGGGATTTATACCTTGGTGGAATTTAGTAAAGGTGACCTTTCAAAACTAATTATAATATGAGAAACTGATTATAGTAAAGGCTCACTTAAAACTGAAGCTAACGTTTTGTTCTCTAGACAATAACTAAAAATCATAAAGTAGCATTGTAAGTTATTCAATGAAAGAAAAACAATACCTGAGATCATAGAAATATAAAACATTGAAGTATCTACCTGGAGGGCAACAGGTCAAAAGCATGCCCTTAGGGAAGAAAGCGTGCGGCGAACAGCGACAGACTAACACAGAACGGTGTGTTTGCACCTTTGCGCTCTCTGCGATCCCCAGGGTTGATCACTTCCCAAGCCACTGACTTGCACGTGAAGCAACAGTGAGGTGGTGGTCTCTTCACCAACCAAAGTGCTTTGACTTGTCAAACTCAAAATTCTATCATGAGGCCACCGCTCAGATAACTGGTATTGACACATAGATGGGCACAAGTTTCAGATCATGATGAGATCTGGTGTTTTAAACACTTTTTAAAAATACTTACTTTTAGAGAGAGGGTAAGGGAGGGAGAGAAACATCATTGTGCAAGAGAGAAACATTTATTGGTTGCCTCTCCTTTGCCCCTACTGGGGACCTGGTCCGCAATCCAGGCATGTGCCCCAACTGGGAATCAAACCAGCGACCTTTCACTACAGGTCAGTGCTCAACCCACTGAGCCACACCTGCCAGAGCAGGGTTTTTAAATACTTTTAAGGGTTTGGGTTTTTTTTTTAACAAAAAGACTAATAAATTTTGTTGTTTCTTGCTATTTGAACAGTCCCCTGGTATTTATATACTACCATTGCTTCTAATGTCACTTGATGCTAAATTCTCAGAAATTACACATCATCTTTCTGCATTTTACCCTGTTTATCTAGTACCTAGTTTGACATTGTGGATTTTATTCAGGCCTAACTAAAAAATATATTTTTAATACCTTCCCTTGGATTGTATGATGACGTTCTCATAGTGATATAGTATTAGTAAAGAAAAATACACCCAGAACATGAGAATATTTGTATAAACGTATATAATTTTTTTCCAGTTTGACAGCATTAAATATATTTCGGCCTCAGACACAAAGTTGGGGTCTCCCAAGGAGGAGGTGGGGCCCTGCTCACTCCTGCACCCACACCCCCTTGGGAAAGGCCCCTGCCTCTGCTGTTTCAGTGGAATGAGTGGTTCATCCGTGTTATCCAGGCTTAAGGTGTAAAGGTTTATGCAAAAGAAGGAAAGCAAATAAGCTTTTGGGGTAGGTGCGCTGCTTTCTATAAACTAGGTACGAAGGTTTCACACTCAGGGTCTCGTTTAAACTCCGCCTTGCAGTTTAGAGATGAAGAAACGCATTGCTGGGCTAACCCCAGATGGGAGTTCGCCCTGGTGAGCCCAGCTGGCAAGTGGCAAGAGGCAGGAGGACTCGGCCCAGGAGAGAGCCCATCACCTCCACGGCGGCGCTGCTGCTGCCGCTGCAGCTGCGTGTTAGCGCAGCCGACACCAAAGATGCACAGTCGTCGCTGAGTAACAGAGACTTCTCCACTCACAAGTGGGGTGGCACTGAATGCTCGTCTCCCGTGGAGTTCTAAATGTCGCGTCTAAGAGAGAGGAATCTTTGTTTGAATGGAATTTGCCAGAAACCATCCTCCTGTGCAAACAGGAGTAATGGCATCCCGAATTTAATAACGCGATCTTGGAGTTCTCCCAACACAGCAGGAACAGAGCCAGCCGTGGTTTTTGACGGCCTAAGTGTGCGAGCGGTGTGGCTTCATATTTCACTCTAAGTCCCTGAAAAATGTTTTTCAATATTGAAACAGTAGTCTTGAAGGAGAAAGTAATTTAGCACCTCTAAGTGTGAAGTCACAGGTTGTGTCCCAAAACTTTCCAAACGCGTGTATTCGTTCCCTCGAAATCAGCAACGTGGCTCTGTACTCCGCTCGGCAGGGTTCTCCCAGGGAAAGCTCGTAAAAATATTTTTAAGTATTTTCATGAGCGTTAGTTTCACCACTTTCGTCTTTGTGTAGAGTGGTCATCACCGTATTACAAAGACTCGTGTCTTCCCTGG